TAAAGCATGTCAACATATTTTGTTACACAAAATACACAAAATAATGATCTTTAAAAAAAACATCATATGACCCCTTTAAAATCGTGATTTCAAATTATGCTGTGCTTTAATGCATTTGCCCACTGTCATATTCATGTCATTTTCACTGTGTGCTGTATGTAAAATGAGTGTTACCTTGGCTTTATTTGATAAAATATGATTCCCTCACACAAACTTCCCAGACCCAGACAACCAATCAGAATCTACCTACCTTCCCCCCTGAGCATTTAAAGCATTATAGGTATTGGTGCTTGGTGTTAATGGGTTTTATAGGTCCTCGATCATTTCATGTGAGTGTAGAATCATTTTATCATATTTATCAAAGCTGCTCATTTGTGTCCTATCCATTATTATGTGTACAATCCATAATTAGTAAAACATATCGAGTGCATCTTTAAAAACCATGTTTCAACTATTAAGACGCCAAAATAGCAAACAGTTTTTCTAAGGTCTGTCCGCATAGGCTGCATGTTATGTACTGTAACGGTACCGTTAAATGAGGACTTTACACAGGACAAAGACACAAAAACATCTCAATATGAAACAGCTTGCGCAATAAACACCATATGTTTTCTATTACTTCAATTCTTGCTCATGTATTGGACGCTTTCCAATTAACTTCTATGACGTAACAATTAAATGATTTCCGAATTACAAAGACACATAATCCGAATCTGCGCCTAGTGTGCACTTCATCCAGTTTTGCAAAAACAAAGTAACTCACATCAGGATGAAAACACATCAGTGGAGCTATCGTTCTGCAAAGAGGTGTTTGAAATATTTACTGTGCGAGAAAACACCCGAACACTTAGAATACTGAATCGGGTTGACACCAGCAGCACCGCTGGGTCAGTTCCCTTTGTCAATGGTCTTACTGCAAAAACTTGATTTTAAGCGATTCACAAGCTGCTTACCATAGTATGAAGGGGGAATTGCACTTTTCCTTGCCATTGCACCTCCGACGAGCGGTCCTCGTGTGTCTTTTGTTTATGTGATTGCATATGAAGCTGTGGACGTGAATAGCGTCTCTCGCGCTCGTCCACATATACAACAAATCTGTGATTTGCTGGGCCACGCAACGCCGCGTCACTGTGTTTAAAGCTCCATCAGCAGTGAGACACTGCACACAAAGAGGCGGGCCATTCTATGAGTGACGTCTCAATTGTCCAATCGCTGACTGCCATCAGCTCCCAAAAGCCAATCCAATTTCTGGAGGCGGGACTTATCGTAGTACTTGTGGGAAAATAAAAGAAATCTCACAGGCAGGCACAGGAAAAACACTTCAGTGAACACGAGAACCAAGTAAATCAACCGAAAACAGTCTGCTAGTGTTTTGAAATTCCCTTGTGCTTCGACACAATAATAGACTGTGAGTATTTATGTACAGTATGGGCTCGTGGAGACCACAATGATTGGCGACCAATTTTTATGTTAGTGAGGAAGTTCAATGCCAAATGGTATTTCAGTTTCTTTCTCAAAATTGTTTTCCCCTCAAGCCAACTCACCATCACGGAATGGGGAAGTTGAGCAATTAAAGTAATAAAACAGTATTAGTCTACTATAAATGACATTTATATTATACTTTCCACTAATCAAAAAAGTACAATGTTTTTGCACAGTAAAAAAAATACCATGGTATCGAAGTACCATACTACCTTCTGACATTCTGACTGTCACTCTACTTACTAAGATATCACCACAATAGGTTTTGTGTCATCCTGAAAGGCTACTACATTTATTTAAGATCAGAAATATATAGGAAAGTCATACATCATTTTAACACATCACATCTTGCAAAATAAAATAAAGAAAATTAAACTGAAAAGGTGAAGAAGCTGTGGAAATTACTGTGGCTGCCAACGTTTGCATTTCACCACCTGATGGCAGTAATGTGTTGTGATAGATGCCAATGTAAACTGATGAACGCACCAGTGGTCTTAAATAAGGAATACATACAAAATATGTAAAAAAAATAAAACCTGCCTACATTTATTACAGGTATTTTAAATTCTTCTTCTTCTTCTTATTATTATTATTAGATTTATTGGAAAAATACAGTTCTCATCAGAATCCAGAATTTTCCTGTCTTATCTCTGCAGGGGCGCCACTATGGTTTCTGGGCCCCCTGAACAGCATATTGATTCGGGCACCCTTCGTGCGTACTCCTCAGTAAAAATCGTGTTCTGGGCCCCATCTCCCTCATCGGGCCCTTGGAATCGTTCTAACCTTCCCCCTGTTAATGGTGCCCCTGCATCTCTGTCTCGTGCTTAGTAATGCAGAGTTCAAAAGTAAAATCCAACACATGCAAATGCAATGCATTCTTCCAGGAAACTTTAGACCAGGCAATCAAAAACCTATTAAGACTCCAGTAACTGGTCTAATAAGCAATAATGATTCATTCAATTCCATGCAAAATTAGGGGGCAGCTGCAACTTCTTAGTCCTGACATGATTCACTAATCAGGAACTATAATGGATATGTGCTCTCTCTCTCTCTCTCTCTCTCTCTCTCTCTCTCTGTGTAATATACCATAATTGAAATAGTATAAACTGTCTTTTATTTGGACCTTTTTTGTGTGTTCAGTGGGTCAGACAGTCTGACAAGTACGATTTATAATATACGTTGCATCAGGGTAAAGTTTTTATAGGTGAAGAGTAGTGTCCTGTCTGTTTCAAGTATCGTTTTAATGTTATTTTCCCAGATATTTTAAGATTTTTCTCAAAATTATTCACATAGTAAATCAAGTCACTCATTAAATTCTTTGTGCAATGGTTTTAAGTACAAACAAATCCAATAATACACTATACTCTAATGCCCGAATTGGTGTATAAATTGCTGAGTGAATTGTGTTTGAGTAATGGTGGCATTGCATCTCAGATTGTTGGCTAACTTGTAAGCTTCTTAGCACGAGCTGCAGTAAAATGTGTAAATACCAACAAGCTCATGCTTCTGCATAGGCATTGCACGCTCACTTGTGTTTTGATATTAAATTACTTGTAGTGGGACTTACCAGTTATTTTAACAGAAGGTAAGATATATTCCTAATCAGTTAGAATACATGTTGTGCTGTGGGCTCATCTTGAGTGATATTTTCATGAGCCACAGTTTTCAAGATGACATAGTGCTGTCCTACATTCAGTCAAAGCAGTTTCAAGGTAGATGTATGCACTTTTACAAAAGCAAATATGGTTTACAGTATTGTGTATATACAGATTTTTCCTGTTAAATTTTATTTTCAGTCTTTTAAAGATAAAGGGTTATGCTTCAAAATACAAGGGATAATATCAACATCAAAAACCCAGAAGCAAACAGCGAACTTAAGAATAGACACCAAGTGTGGTATGTTGATGAGCTCAAATAAATGGACTGAAGGTGCTTGTGATATCAGTGCCACTGCAGACACAGCTTGTTCAGAGAAGAGCAAAAACTAAAACAACTTATACAACATATAAGATGCAGCTCTTGTGAATGACTGACCTACCAAATTTACCCAAATATGCAAAAACCATTCGAATAATCTTTGGTTATTTTGGCACATGATTGTTTAAATATCAGATTAGCAATATAATGTCTCTTAACAAGTTCTGTAACGTTTAAAGTGTTAACAGTGTGCGAATGATTCAATGACGTTCAAGGAGTTTGGTTTTTTAAAAAAAATTCTGTCAGTAGTCATTTTTGGCATTTCTTCTTAAATCTTCAAATCTTAAAGGGGTCCTATTATGCTTTTTTTTCAAAGCCTTGGTTTTGTTTTGGGGGTGTACTAGAACAGGCTCTCATACTAGTTTTTTCGAAAAACTCTCTGAATTTTTCACATATTTTAAATTATTACAACACCTCTCTCCCCAGTCTGGCATGAACGGCTCGAATAGTTCCTGTATCAAATGAAGGCCTGCCTTTTGAAATACGAAATGTGCTGTGATTGGTTAGCTGCGCCAGTGTGTGTTGTGATTGGCAGCACTCTGCACCTGGTCGGGAAATATCTTGCCCCTTACCATAGCCACCTGCAAGCTTCAGTGTAAATATTGTGTCAAAATCAAATCAATTTGAGCGCAATTTAAACCCGGATGATTGTAACCACTCTAAGTTCATCTGCCTTGGGAAAGCTAGCGTGTCTCCGACATAGTGATAACACTCGTTGCCTTCTCTAGTGCAGCTCAACTAGGTCTCGTCCCATTCGTCGATATTTGTGATATCACAAATCCTGGAAAATATGCGTTGTAGTCCAAACGAGTCATTCGTTGAAGTTTTTGAAAAGTGATTTCTGTTAAATAAAATATCTCCTTTTGAATTGGACTTTGAGCTTTGTAACTTTGCAGATATTTTTTATGCTCAAACAGCAACATTACAGACTAACTAAAGTTGAAAAAGTGAACAAGCATAATAGGACCCCTTTAAAAACTTTTTAACAAAGCACTTTTTGTGGTACTTGTGACATCTTGTTTTGTAAAGATAAAAATAACAATGCTAAAATGTTTTATCGAATACTGTTGGAGCAGCTTACTGTTGCCATTCCTTAAGCGAATGTGACAGGTGTTTGGGAGTGTATTTAGCTTGCTATGACTAATTAATGACACTTTCTAGTTAATAAAACGTTGTTTGAAAATGCTTTTGAAATGTAGGCTAGGCTATACACCATTAAAAGTTTATTTGGGTTGGTAATGTCTTGTTTCTGAAAGTCTCTTATGCTCGCCAAGGCTGAATTTATTTGATCAAAATACAGTAGCCTAATATTGTAACATATATTTACAATTTAAAATAACTGCAATTAATTTTAAAAGGTAATTTATTCCTGTGATTTTCTGCAGCCATTCAGTGTCACATGATCCTTTAGAAATCATTCTATCAATTGATGAATATAAAGTAAAAAAATAAAAATAAAAAATGCATTTATTTGAAATATAATTTTTTCTAATGTAATAAATGTCTTTACTGTCACTGTTGATCAATTTAATGTGTGCTTGCTGAAAAAAAACAATTTCTGGAATAAATAAATAATATATGCATATGCAAAAAAAGTGGTACATACAATGAGAGCCTCAGCCCTCATGTTGTGATTTCCATTGGGTTGCAGAAGTTCAGTTGCATTAAAACTCATTATATTCCAGGCTAGTTCGTAACCTAAAACATTCATCCCTTTTGAACAACAGTGAGCTACTATAAAGACTAAAGCGGTACCTGTGGGCAAATGAGTCAGATAAAATGACTGCTCTAATTTCATAATCCGTATAAAGTAATTTAGTAATGGGCCATCTGGAATATTCACATATCTCTTTCATTCAGATTGATCTGAGAGCCTGATTACAATTGACATGGTCAAAATACATGGTTTGGATAAACTGAGACTAGATACATTCAAGCTTGGCTTCAAAACTTTGAATCAATTCCTCAGGTAGGACAGACACCTGCTCCATGCTTTCTGTTTATTCTGATGTGCCCTCATATAAATAATGTGTGAGACACTTAGTGAGTGCCTTTCTTCAGGCACCTGCTATGAATATATTAACATTCACAAAGTGTGTCCCCTGCTTCTCTGTGTGATCAACACTGTCTTATGAGGGGACAGCTCATCTGGTCAGGGTGCCATGTAAAAGGCCAGACACTTGTTGGGTTTTGGTTGGCTCCATCTGCTTCAGGATCTTAAAATAGCTTGTGCACTGATATACATGGAGACATTCCTGAACATTGCTGGGTTGCTGTAGAGTAGTAGTGCCATGGAGTCAATGAAAGGTTGCAGATTTGAATGCATGAAATCAAAGGCCATGAACTGTCAACACTGTGCTTAATATGATAGCATCACGCAGTTCCTGCAGATTTGTCAGCTGCACATCCATGATGCCAATCTCCTGTTTCACCACACCCCAAAGGTGCTCTATTGGATTGAGATCTGGTGACTGTGAAGGCCATTGGAGTACAGTGAACTCATTGTCATGTTCAAGAAACCAGTTTGAGTTGATTTGAGCTTTGTAATCCTGTGGAAGTAACCATCAGAAGATATGTATACTGTGGTCATAAATGGATGGACATAGTCAGCAACAATACTTAGGAAGGCTGTGGCGTTTAAACGATGCTCAACTGGTACTAAGAGACCGAAAGTGC